CAGATGGAGACAACATTTCCCCTCCCCACCACAACCAGCAACCAAGAGACTGGGGCTCCAAGGGGACGTTCCCCCAGCCCCAAAAGCCCAAGGGGACGTTCCCCCAGCCCCAAAAGCAAGGGCTGTAGTGGTGGCCAGTGCTGGAGGTGGGATGGCACCAGCAGAAGCAGCTGCAGGTGGGGATGACTTAGTGGCCACTAATGCAGGTGGGGTTCATCCCTACCTATTAGTGAAACAAGCTCATTAACAAGGTACCCAGTCCCAGCTGTCACACCCCAGGCAGTGATGTTAAAGCAGCCTGTCCCCCCCCACCATCATCTGCTTCTTTCCCTGTTACAGACAGAGCTAGAGCTCTGCAGTGCCGGGGGAATGGTTGGGAAGCTCGTCTGGACTAGTCCTGCGAGGGGAGAGAAGTCAGGTTTCTCTCAAATTTGCCCAGACCACCACGATTCAGGGAGATTGCTCAGGAGAATTGAGGGACATCTGGGAATAAGGAACAAATTGGAGAAGAATCCACATTGGTTTAGTGAACTGTTTGCTGCAAAGCTATTGTCACAAGGGTGCTCCTGCTGCCGGAGGTGCTAGTGCCAGCCCATGTCAATCACGGGGTTTTATTGCTGCACGTGTTCCCCTTTCAGCTGGGAGATCAAAGGCTCTTTCCTTCAATTCGTTTGTGTCAATGCAGCCAGGTCCCATGTGGAATCCCAGATCTCAGCGACAGAAATGATGTGTGAGATGAATGGATGTGAACGAGCCCTGGGGAGGGAAGCGTGTCCCTGACACCGCGGTGACAGCGTGCTGAATCGTACCCAGGGGCTGAGAACCTTCAAACACACGCCAAATGAAGGAGAACCTGCCTGCCAGCAGAGGAATTTTATTGAAAAAATTAAGATGATAAATACAAGTGCGATTTCCCCGCTCCTGCCCACTCTCATTTCATATCCTGGAAATTAACGAGAAAAGCCTTTATTTCCGCAAAACTTGGGGTGGTTCAGAGTTTGACCCAGTTTTGGAGATAGGGTACTTGTCTCAAATACCAGATCAAGATCTAGATTGCTACCAGATCTTGGATTCTGGTTTAATTCTATTTGAATGGCCAAAGGCAAATACTTCAATAATATTGTGGCCTTAATAATATTAATATTTTTTTTTTTGGTAATTTAATTAGGAACTTGATCTGGTTTTGGGGTAGGACACAAAGGGGATTACAGGAGCAGCTGGCTCTTTAATTAGGGCCATTTATCTTCTGTTAAAGTTTAACCTGTACTTGTCCAGAGAGGCAGTGACAGCGAGGGACAGGACGTCAGCAGAGAGGTTTTGGGTGCGGTGCTGGGTACGTGTGAGGCTGGGAATACTGGGAATACTGGGAATACTCTCATCTTACTCGACCCTCACTGCAGCAGTCCCAAAGTACCAACTGGCAGCTGTGTCACGCGGCTATTTATAGAGACCAGGAACTGCAGGGTAAATATTTATTTAGATTCCGATGCTTAATCTGCTGCTGGCTGATTGTGTGGAAAGCCTGAGGCCCCACTCCTCCTACAGCAATTTATAACCGGAGCCTTCATCTCCTCTCCTCCTCCCAACGCTCTCATACACATTCCCCAGGATTAGTTCTGCAGAAAATGGGCATGGCCTGGGTTCAGACCCTCCAGAACCTCCTGGTCCCAGACCATCCTCCCTCCATCTCTCCCCCCTCATTTTAACTGACTGGCGTCCAGAGGTGGGAACTGCAGATCCCGGGGTGTGTGGAGGATGATGGCACGAAGCTGTCCCTGCTCTGAAGCTGTCACTGCTCTGCAGGAACCACAGGCTGGTTTGCAGTGAGGTGGGATGGGACAGAGCCCCGGATGGGAGCTGCGGAGTCACTTGGATTCCTCTTGAGCTGGCTGAGCAGTGACAGCCCTGCTGCTCTGCAGGCTGCCGAGGCAGAGCCACCCCCATTGTAAAGCCACCCCCGTCACACCGCAGAGTCCTACAGCCACCATAAACCCTGCCACTGCCCGCCCCCACCTTTTCCCAGCCAGAACAGCAGCAATATATTGAGGGTTGGCACAGGGAGACTGGAAGGATGCTCTGTGTTCATCAGCGAGGACAGATGGAGACAACATTTCCCCTCCCCACCACAATCAGCAACCAAGAGACTGGGGCTCCAAGGGGACTTTCCCCCAGCCCCAAAAGCAAGGGCTGTAGTGGTGGCCAGTGCTGGAGGTGGGATGGCACCAGCAGAAGCAGCTGCAGGTGGGGATGACTTAGTGGCCACTAATGCAGGTGGGGTTCATCCCTACCTATTAGTGAAACAAGCTCATTAACAAGGTACCCAGTCCCAGCTGTCACACCCCAGGCAGTGATGTTAAAGCAGCCTGTCCCCCCCCACCATCATCTGCTTCTTTCCCTGTTACAGACAGAGCTAGAGCTCTGCAGTGCCGGGGGAATGGTTGGGAAGCTCGTCTGGACTAGTCCTGCGAGGGGAGAGAAGTCAGGTAAGGAGCAGGGTTTATCTCTGAGCGAGGGAGGGCAGCTTGGTACGGGGTCCTGTCCTGCCTTGGGGTGTGAAAAGAGCACAACAGAGAGTGCTATGGCCTGGGGACCAGGGCTAGTGTTTGGGAGAGGTGGCCCAGGACAGTGGCTGGTGCAGGAGCCCTGGTTTCACATCTTTGTGGCCAACCCTGGCTCTGTTTAGCACCATGAGTTCTCTGCACCTTCAGCAGTTGCTCCCATCTGGGTGCAGGGAAAGGGGAGCATCTCCCCATCTTGTCCCTGTTGGGCTTTTCTGATAAGAACGCGTTTCTGTTTCTCTTTCACTTGCTGGAGTGTTTTATGGCAGTTGAGAGCCCTGTAATGGATTTTCCCCTTGCAATTTCCTACCCTTATTGTTTCCTGCCAGGGAGGTGTGGACACATCAGAGATAAGATCCTTAACTCTGGGCAGGTCGAGCAGCTGATCAGAGCAGGTTCCTGCAGCCGACTCTTCTCCAGCCCTGCAACGTTTGCTGTGCTATCTCAGGGATGGCAGAGCAAGTGTCAGCAGCAGATTTCTCCCCCCCTTGCTGGAGTGTTTTATGGCAGTTGAGAACCCTGTAATGGATTTTCCCCTTGCAATTTCCTACCCTTATTGTTTCCTGCCAGGGAGGTGTGGACACATCAGAGATAAGATCCTTAACTCTGGGCAGGTCGAGCAGCTGATCAGAGCAGGTTCCTGCAGCCGACTCTTCTCCAGCCCTGCAACGTTTGCTGTGCTATCTCAGGGATGGCAGAGCAAGTATCAGCAGCAAATTTCTCCCCCCGTCTAGTTCTTCATGCTAGAAAAAGCTCAAGAAGGCCTGGTATCCCTAAACTAGTGGGGCAACTGAGATTAAAAGGCTTGTGCAAATTTGTACAGGGGAAACTACCACGTACCCAAGAGCTACCAAGAGCATCCTGCAAAGGGGTACAGCTTCTGGAAAAAAATCTCAACAGAGCCCGGAAAAGAGTTTGCATTGCATGTACCATTTTTATTTTCACATATATATATTACATCATTTTAAAAATGAATATTTGTGAAAGAGATGGGGGTTTTCTTCAGGTAAAAGCAACACACCATGTTCCACACAGCCCCTTTACCTGCCCTTTGGAGATGCCCTGCTCTGGGGAAAGGCTGCCCTGAAGATGGAGCCCATTCCCCATCTCCCTGCTGCTGCTGGGACAACCTGTGGTCTTCCTTCCTCGTTCCCCTGGCAAGAAAAGGTGTTTGCCAGCCCTTCCCCTCCAGAATCAGTGCAAAACATGCTTTATTGCTCCATCATATACCCCATGCCCTTCCTGCAGTGCTGGGAGAGACTGGGGCTTCCTGGAGGGATGAGGGGAAGGAGCTGTGTGAAACACCGCGTGCCTTGATGCTGTGAGAAAGGCAAGGAAGAGCCAGGATTAAGAGTGACAGTGTGGTTTCAAGTATACAAGATGTAAAACCCATCACACAGAGCTTCACAGAAGGCTGCCACCAGTCCTGGCCATGAAAGGACTGGTTTCTCTGGGGATCACTGTCCCCTCTGGTACCCGGTGTTTGGTGGGGATGGCTCAGGATCAGCATGAGGGATGGTGAGAAGGGAGAAGTGGCTCTGACAAGCAAACCACGAGCTCAGGTAGATTCCTCCATCCAGAAGGAAAATGCTGGGAAGAGGGTGGCACTAAAAAATGCTCTCAAATAGGCTGAGTCAATGAGACTCTGCCTTCAGAGTCCCACCCCTCTTTCAAGCACCCTTCTGAATGAAATTCCTCTGCCCACACTCCCAAACACATGTTTCTGTTCAGTCCAAGTTTCCCACCTAGACAACTCCTTGTGCTGTGTTCCCTTAACAGCTCTTGTGGGACAACCTCTTGCAAAAAGAAATCCTCACCAGAAGGAACCCCTCTTTCCTCCCTTCACCCCTCGGTGGGTGCAGCATCAGAGGGAGCCAGTCCTTCCTCAGGTGCAGCCCCACGTTGGGTCTCTGATGCTTGAAAAATGGCCTTCTTTCCCAGCAGCTCTCCACCAAACCCCACAGTGATTTAGGTAGCCCTGCCTTGAGTGGGGGTGAGCCCTTCCTTCCAACCCAAACAACTCTATGAACAATCCCCTCGTGACCAGCCACGGCAGAGCCTTCTCCCCTTCTCCTCATCTTCTGCCTTCATTTTCCAACTGAGGGCTTCCCACCTCTGTCACCCTTACTCCCCAGGGGAAGAAGCCCAAGCCCGGGGGCTGTCATCCCCAGTAGCACCACGGTGGCTCCGACGGTGGCAGCAGGAGATCCTGCTGGTCAGTGCATGAGAAGGGCTTGCTTTTGTACAAGCTACGACGTGTGACTGGGTTGGTGGATAAACAAAGTTCACACTGATTTAAAAAACTGTTGTAGTTGCTCAGGGCTTTATCCCTGCAGAATGAAGGGGCTGATTCAGGTCTGCAAGGGAAGTTTGGGGTTATTCTAAGAATGTAGTTGTATCTAAACTCTTACTTCTATAGCAGAGATGTACTCTTTTTTTTTTCTTTTTTTTTCTTTTTTTGTAAAAATGGCTCCTGGCACTGCCAGTCCCAGAGCAAAAGCCTTCTGCATATAGTCAAGGTGGCCTGACTGTGTCCAGGCCCCTGCCCAAACTCTGCCGAGTGGGGCTTCGAGGTAGATACCGCCGTGGATCTCTGAGAGGGGCCACCAGCCCCACGGAGAGCATCAGCTTCTGGGAAGGGCCAACCCACCTCACCTCGGGCTGCTCGGAGCCCAGCAAAGCCAACCCTGCTCCAGCCTCTTCCTGCCCTGCTAAAGCACTCGTGCTTCCAGCAGCAGCCCAGTACAAACCAGTGGGCACCCACAGCTCTGGGTGTGCAAACCATGGCCGATGGATCCCGGGGGGACCTGGAAGGGACATTTCCCGGTCTGTGGGAGCTCAGCACCCAGGTGGCTGTGCCTGCAATGCTGTTGCCATCCAGTGACAGGACACAGAACTACAGACCAGTCACCCATTCACCCTCCCAGTTCAAGTTTTGGTTTTTTCCCCACGTAGTAACCAGTATCAGGAAGGCGAGGAGAGGCGAGAGCAGAGGGAGACCCAACGCTGATATCCTGAGACAATCCTTCCCGCAAATCCCCTGAGAAAACAGACAAAATGGAAACTTCCCTTTGCTACAGCACCTATTCTTAAGAATTCCCTTCTCTGTCCTGGTATCACAGACTTTACTAGGGCTTGATTAACTACCATAGAGCTGAAAAATGTTCTCTAGGAAAAGTCTGCTGGCCTTACAGCTGATTTTGGTTTGCGAGGTGAAACACCCTGTCTGGAAGATGAGAATAAATTACAAGCAGCACAGCTTTTTCTACGAGCAAAAGCTATCTCCAATCTGTTAGAGTTCTTGGAGTGTGTGGGTGAAGTAGTGAATAAAAGCTGGTTTGTACTGTTTTCTTTCCAAGGACCTCTGAAAAAGTCCTGCTGGAGACACGACCGAACCAGAGAACTGCCCTAGAGGACAGTGCCGTGTCAATAAAGGGGCTGCTTAAGAGAAAAGGAAAAATAACAATTAGTAGTTCATTGTCATGGTGGCAAAAAGGCTCCATCTGGTGGTATTTTCACCGAGAAAAGAGAAGGTAAGGTGTGGGGCTGGGAAACTGCGGGTGACACTAAGTTGGTTTGACTGGTTTGCATCAGAGAAGAGCCTTGAGGTCTCAAGATCTGCTCGAGACGGGTGGGATGGTGGTAAATGGAGCTGTGTGGGGATAAACGCAAAGAAACACACCTGCAAGGGGCCAAAGGAGCTCAGGTGGGCGTTCAGCGTCTCAAAGAGCCAGCACAGCACCAAAACCTGAGCGTGGACAATCCACTGGAGATTTGTGCCCCTCAGCACAGATAAAACAAATAAAGCAACCAAAGTGGAGATATATAGAGGAGGAATATCATAGCAAATATTTTAATGGCTTTCTATTAAGCACAGTCCAGGGCACTCCGCCAGGGAAAGGGATACTGCGGAAACAGCCAGGGTCAAAATGATAAGCACAGAAAAGACCCTGATATGGGAAATAGGCTGAAAAGTTTGCTATTATGTTAAAAGAGGCAGGAACGTGAGGGACCCAAGTGTTATAAAATTAGGGCTGGTCCCGCTCAGGCTCTGCGCCGGGTCGGGACGTGCAGTATCAAGCTTAAACTGCAGCAAGGGATGGGCACTGAGGAGAAAGTCTATCTGAGGGTGAAGATGAAGGTAGGAGTCAGTGAACCGGGGAGGCAATACTGGAGGATTGTAAAAGCAGGTCAGACAGAGGTCTGTCAGGAACACCTTCGTTACAGCGGGGCAGACGGGCTGCTCTCGGGGTCTCTCTGACCCTCCTGGGGCCATCCCGGTGGTCCCTGCAGGAGGTGACACCGGGCAGGGCTGTGGGTGAGCTGGGCTCTGCCCCGCTTTGGTGATCCCCGTCCCATGGAGATGAGCCAAAGCACTGTCACTTGTCACCCAGCCCAATACCAGGTAAGGTCCCTGCTCCAGCCATCGTGGGAAGACCCCAGAGGGCAGGAGGGCTCAGATCTTCAGGGCTACCGTTTTGCTGCTCCCCTTGTCCCAGGCTGCAGCCCAGAAGGGCTCTGTCTGCACCAGGAGAGGAGCCCAGACATAGGACCACTGCTCATTTCCAGCCTCTGAGGTCCCTCTGACTCTCTCCCCGAGCTGGCTGACCTGAGTGATGCTGGAATAGGGTGAGTTTGGCTCAGACAGGGCCAGTCACAGTTTCAAGCCTTTACAGAGTCACCTGGAGTAAAAAGCTAAACCACGCTGGGACTCTCTTCTGTTTTGAAAAAGGCAGAAAGATTTGGGATGGGAGCGTGCAGGCTGCTTCCCTCCCTCCTTCCCTCCCCTAGCATCATGCTCAAGCATTTGTCATGAACGGAACGAGGTGAAAACACTTCCCAAAAGCACTGTGCCCAGCAGAGGCTGTTCCCCGCTGTCTGGGCAGCCACAAACCACTGCAGCCCTGGGCTTCACCAGGGCACGTCTGTGCCCTCCTGCCCAGCTGAGCTCAGGAGGCAAAGAGATGATGCAGGGATGGGACACAACTCCAGTGCCTCCCACCGAGAGCAAGGGAGACCAACTGGTCTCCCCTGGGCTGCTCCTTTGCCAGCATCTGAGTCTCCTGAATGGAAGCCCCAGCAGAGCTGGAGGGAGGGCACAGGGAGGCCTCACAGCTCCCCACAGCTCACCCCACAGCTTTTTAGTGTTTGGAAGCCTGCTGGTGTTCCCTAGACCTGCCGGCACCCAGCCTTGGAGCTGATGGAGGGCTGGGAGGCTGCACCCCAGCGCCCGCATCAGCCCCAGGAGAGCTGCAGGTCCCAGCTTCAGGCTGTGGAGGGGAAAAGCCAGGTGTCACCATCCACGGCCAGGTGACAGGTAGTCAGCATCTTTCTTTCAAAAGCGGTAGGGTTGCTTGCTAAAAGGGAAGAGAAGGCTCAAATACTTGGGCTCAGGAGCAGAGGGGAGGTGAAAGCAAGCCCCATACGGGCTTTCTAACTCTGGCTTGTCCCTCCAGTGACTCACTCCAAATCACAGCAACCATGGCTGCAATCCCTCTTCAAAATCAGGCAGAGTCTGGGCTGGAGCCATTAGCAAATGGGGAGCTCTGCACCTACCCCAAGGAGCGGACAAGACCCACACGCTCGCACACACACTGGCGTTATTACAATTACATGTTTGTTCCTCCTGACTCTGGAGGAGCCTGTTCTCCTCCCTCGCTGCTGCCCACCAGGACTGCCCCAGCGGCGTTCTGTCCTCAGCGGGTAAGCGAGGCATGAAACAGACAGTAAAGTTGAACCTTCCCTCCCCCCCTCCCACCCCCAACCGCTTCTCTCCATAGCTCCTGGTGGTGTCTCCATAGATGGCAGAGCCCCTGGGATCCCTGTAGCAGGAGGGTCACAGATCCAAGCTGCTCTCTCTCTCTCTTGGAGGTTCTCCCTCTCTTGGGAGGTGTCAATGAAGAGCAGAGATTTGAGAGAGAGCTTGGCCGGGCCCCCCCAGCCTCTGCCCCCATGTCAGTCAGGGCCTGAAGAAGCGTCGTACCACTAAATGCCCCACCATGACCAGGGCCACCACCACCAGCATGTACTTCATGTAAACATTGTCCAGATCGAGTGCAGCCACCTAACGGGGAACAGAGAATAACCACAGCTCGTTAGATCTGCTGGGTCCCTGCACCCGGGTGGCCCCACAACCTCAGTGATGCCGTTGTCCCTGGGTTGCACATTCCACCAGCCAGAGTGCATCTGCCTCCCCTGGCCCCCAAACCCCCCCGGGACAGCCCCCTGGCTCACCCATCCTCCCTGCTGGGCGATCCACTGGGCGATGCGGTTCCGGAGCATGAACTCGGCGACGTAGCGAGCGATGCGGCGGAGGAAGCCCGGGATGCCGTGCTGGTAGACGTAGATGGCCATGTGGTAGCCAAAGCCCAGCAGCGCAATCACCCGGCCCCAGTTAATGCCGCTCTCGAACAGGCTGAAATGAAGGTGATGGTCTGGTTAAATCACTGCCCTGCTGGGCTCGGACCTGCCTGCTCTCTGCATCCCAAGCCACGGGCTCTCGAGCAGGGCTGGGGATGCTGCTGGTCCTCGAGGCACATCCCAGCCCCACAGACAATGTAGCTGTGTTGTGGCTAAGTGACACGTGGCCTCTGATAGCCAGGGTGTGCTGTCAGAGCAGAGCAAACGTGGTCTTGGTCACGGCTGTTTGCCTCAGCCAGGGATGTCCTCAGAACAAGGAAATTGCCAAATCCACACAGCCACAGGCTGAATCGCCAGAGTGGAAGCTTTGGGATGGTGGTGGTTGACCTGCCACCTTCCCACCCATCCAGCCTTGGCTCAACCCAAACGCAGGGCACATCAGCTGCCTGAAGGTCCTGTGCTTTCACAGGTAAGGTTATTGAACAAGGTGAGCTGGAACTGGTGGTGGTAGAAGCCGTCAGGCTGTGGGCTACAACAAACTCTACACATGCCACCAGGAGCAGGAGCTACCACCAACCTGTCCCAGAGCATCCCTCGCTTGTGCCTGGAGGTAAGGAACTTCAAATATATCTAAGGATAAAGCATGTTAGAAGAGGATTTTCTCTTTTCCTGCGTGGACAAACCCCTCAAAGACCAAAACCTGATCTGATCTTGCCTTAGACTGATACTCCAAAGGGCTGAGGGGCTTTCAAAATATGCCTGGTCAATGCCTGCTGCTCCCAATCCAGGATTTGGTGGTTGTGGGCACAAACTAGATCACTGTCTACAGGTTTGGGTCTGATTTCTCTAGACCAGTTTTTGAAGGAATTTTTTTTCCCCAATTTCCAGCAAGGCAAGTAAAAAGGAAAAATCGGTCAATGCCCACTGCTCCCAGTTCAGGTTTTGGTGGTTGTGGGCACAAACTGGATCACTGTCTGCAGGTTTGGCTCTGATTTCTCTAGACCAATTTTTGAAGAAATCTTTTTTTTTCCCCTGATTTCCAGCAAGGCAAGTAAAAAGGAAAAATAACGATAAAAATTAAAAAGAGTAGACTCGGGCCCTGTGTTTTAATCTTGTGCCCTGTTCCTGTAGGTCCCCGTCTGCGCAGCCAGAGGGAACTGTCTTCTCCATGGAACCACCGTGTGGGTCGCAGAGGGAGAGGGAAGTTAGAGGCCAGGAAGGAACAACAGAGAAACAGGTAGGACAAAGAGAGAGAGAGAGGTTAATTTACCTGTTTGCGGCGCGTTAACCGCCTCAGGCTGGCAAAGCAGTGAAAACAGCGCAGTGCGGCCTCCCGAGGAGAGGGGAGCAGGAAGAGGACAGAAGAGAGGTGGTTAGACAACAAACACCGAGCAGGGGGTGCACGGGGCTGTGCCAGAGCCAGGCACGCTCAGAGGAGCCATGGGAGCTGACCTGGGAACTCAGGGGATCCCACCTTCTCTCCTGGCTCTGCCAGAGGTCTTCTGCATGACCCTGGGCAAGCCACTTAATGTTCATGGTGTCTTGGGTTCCCTACAGACAGAGGGGTGAGTACCTGAAGGGGACTAGAGGAGAGATGGGGAGGGGAGCCCTAGGAGGAGGGGGAAGGGTTGGACCCTGAAAGAGGGGAGATGGAGCTGAGATGTGGGGAAGAACTTGTTTGCTGTGAGGGTGGTGAGAGCCTGGCCCAGGTTGCCCCGAGAAGCTGTGGCTGCCCCATCCCTGGAGGGGTTCAAGGGCAGGTTGGAGGGGGCTTGGGGCAACCTGGGCTGGTGGGAGGTGTCCCTGCCCAGGGCAGGGGGTGGCACTGGGTGGTCTTCAAGGTCCCTTCCAACCCAAACCATTCAATGATTCTATGACTGAGCCCCCTTGGTGGCCACCTCGATCCAAGCCTGTACCTCAGGGCAGTACGTTGTTTGTGTGTTTGCCTTCACCCTGTTGCTGTGCTTTGGGCTGGGTGTGTGTCACCTGCAGGAGATGGCTGCAGGTTCTACAAGCCTGTGGAGCATCCGCCATCCTCAGTTAGTCTGATCCTGTTCCACATGGACCATGCCAAGAGCAGCAAGTACTTGCCCATCCCCACTGCCTGCAGCTGCGTTTGCTTTGTGCCTCTGAATGCCTGACTCATGGGGACTTCCCAGCCATCAGGCAAGCAGCAGTGTGACCAGCAGCGGGTCTGCCTTGGTCCAGGACTGATCGGACCCCTGAAGGAGAACTGGGACATTCACTTGGCTTTCCAGGCACATCCCCCAAACTTTCTGACCCCGGTCAGCTTGTGCCAGGACCATGAGATGAACGTTAGGTGAAGACTGTCCAGGCAGTGCGCAGGAGGAAGAGGAGATGGGCAGAAGACACAGGAACCATCACGGTGAGCTTGTTGGGAGCTCAACCCAGGGATAGTGGGTGAAGGTTGGACAGATGGGGTCTGTGTGTGTGGACAGAGCCAGGGAGGTGGCTGCTCTGGGGTGGGGACAAAGGTCTAACCAACTGCATTGCACCCTGTCTGACCTTTCCTTCCCTGGTCTTCTCCAGGAGAAGGCATCCAGCCCATGCTGAGGGAGCCGGTGGCCTTACCTGGAGGCTATTTTGGTGAAGTACTCGTAGGCGTTCTCCTTGGTGGGCTGCAAGGATTTCAGCATGTAGCGAAACTCCGCGTCGTACCGCTCGTTAATGTCATCACCGATGATGGCCAGGCGCCTTCCCACCTGGCTCCCAGTGCTGCTGAGGAGGAAGACGGTGTTATGGACAGGTCAGCTGGACCCGGGGGTGGGTCTGCAAGGGAGCCTGGCTCGGGTTGGGGTGAAGGGACCTGCATAGGGTTAATATCAGAGTTTTACCTGCCCAGCTCCTGCTCGATCTCCACAATCTCTGGGTCCATGGGCACTTCCTCCCCTCTCTCCTCTCTCTCCTGTTGGTAGCGGTAGAAGGCATAGCTCCTAAACACCTCTTCTGTCTCCTTCACCACCTGGTCTTCTGAGAGAGACAAGAGGAAGGAAATTCAAGGGAGCAGCTCATCTCCCCCCCTTTCCCAAGTTTCCAACTTGGAAAGAGACCATTAAATTTGTGTTATTTGTATCGACGCTGGCCTTTTGCAGTAAAACAAAAAGAATCCAACAAAAAATAGTTAATTTTGAAGCCAGCCTTTGTTCTTAGGGGGCACAGGCTCACCTTTTGAATCCATTCCTGGCAAGAGACAGCTACAGGGTTGTCACAACACAAACCAGATGCCGAAGTGCTTGTGCTTGGCAGCGCTCCCTGCGTCCCACCAGCCCCTCTCAGGAAGGACATTCCTCAGCACGAACAAGCCCAGGAATCTCAGATCCAAACCCAAACTGGGAGGCAGAGCCCCGTCTGAGTGCTGCCCACCAACCCTCAGCACACAGTCCTGTCTCTCAGTGTCACCGCCGGTCGTGCCCTCGCGTGGCATCAGCAGCGACGCGGCGAGCAAGAGTTAATTTGGTCATTTTAGTGTAATTCCTTGCTGATTCAATCACACATCACTGCTCTCACGCCCAGCAGTGGTGACACCAGGGCAGGGTTTGCAGCTCCTGCACGGGCTGCTTGGCAGGAAGAGAAAGGAAAAGAGCTTTTGAATAACTCATAACCCATAACCCAGATCAGTGACTCCCCGTCCCACACTTGAAAGCAGACAACCGCCAGACGATAAGTCTGGACTGAACGCTGTCTCCAGCATGCCCATTGCCACCAGGTGAGAGCAGCCCCCCAAATCACAGAATCTTCATGGTTGGAAGGGACCTTTGAGATCATGGAGTCCAACCACCAAAAAAAAAAAAAAAAACCCAGCAAAAAAAACCAACACAACTGGGCAGGCTGTTCCAGTGCCTGATCACCCTCTCAGGAAAGTAGTTCTTCCCAATATCTAATCTAAACCTCCCCTGCTGCAATTCAGACCATTTCCTCTGCTCCTGTCATTGTTCACTTGGGAGAAGGGGCCAACCCCCACCTCTCTACACCCTCCTTTCAGGAGGATGCAGAAATCCCCTGCTTGGCTCACAAACCCCTGTGGAAGCAACGAGCCTGTCGCAGGGTGAGGGGGAGGCCGGGGCAGTTTTGGGTGCTGCAGCTTCCTTCCCCAGCTCTGGTAAACACGGCAGGTACCCGGGGTTGAGCAGGGGAATGTGACCGTGCAGTAACGTCACCCGGCCCCGGCAGCGCGCGAAAACCAACCCGCAGGCAGGATGTGAGTCAGGAACAACCCGTGTGACAAGCGTGTCCCTGCCTGTCTGCCCACGGCTCTGTGTCCCCCAGCCCCACGCTGGCAGAGCAAGGGGTCGGGACACGGCCGGGACCTGCCCCTTGGGGATCAGGGAGCCCCCAACGAGGCGTTTCAGCCCCGTGGTGACCGATACCTTATCACACGCCTTACACTGCTCCCGGGGAAAGTACCCGGGACTGTCACGGGATGTCTCTGATTAGAGCTCGGTTTCAGCTGGCTGGAGAAGCAATCTGGGCTACAGCACGGGTTCCCAAGTAGCCCAGCTAAGGCACCCCGCAGGGCTCGTGGGGGCTGGCCCTGAGGTCCCAGTAACACAGTTCTTCCTGGTTTCTTGTCTCAGATGTAAAACTTGTAGGGGACAGAAATGGTATGGATGGAACAGAGCCCTGCTCCTTTGACAGGGCATCACTGCTCAGGGTGGAGATTAAACGAGGTGCAGAGCCCAGGAAAAAGCTGCTTGGGGGGATGTCAGAAGCGCAGGACCCTGCAGACCCGTGGCTTTAGGTGCTCATCCTCCAAGCCGTGCTGGTGACCTGCAGCAGATCAGGACATCTGCCCCAGCAATGCTCCCTAGCAGTGGTGCAGCTCACTGCAGCCAACCCAGCTAAAACCCTTTCCCAATAAATCCCAGTAAATCCACCAGCCAGACTGGCGGTGCTGTTCTCTGACCACTGGAAATTGCATTTCCAATGCAGAGATGCTCCAAGCATGTCCCAGGGCTGTGATCACAGAATCATTCAGGTTGGAAAAGACCCTTGGGATCATCGAGTCCAACAATCAACCCCCCCCTACAAAGTTCTCCCCTACACCATATCCCCCAACACCACATCTAAACAGCTCTTAAACATATCCAGGGATGGGGACTCAACCACCTCCCTGGGCAGCCCGTTCCAGTCTCTGACCACTCTTTCTGTGAAGAATTGTTTCCTAATGTCCAGTCTAACCCTACCCTGTTGCAGCTTGAAGGGATGTGAGGACCTGGCCTGGAGGACACAACTATCCTGCCAAGGCTGCTCCATAAAACCCTGTATCCAAGTCTCCAGAACATGCCACACTGCTCATGGCAGAGCTTTTTCCAGGTGGCCACATCTACACGGCCCACGTGTGGCTCCAGGGAGATGGACCCAGCCCCAGATGGGGTGCAGGGAAGGGAGAGGACCTGTCGTGCAGAGCCTTGGGTTACAGGGAGTTCAGGACGGGTAAATAAAGGTGAAGGGAAATGACAAGCCCTGGTTGCTGTGTTTTCAGGGGGTTGGTTTTTGTCTTGCAGGAGCGGGATTATTTGGCAGCAAACAGAACCCACCAGGCAGTGACTGCTCCACCGAGAGCCAGAAAACGAAACCGACTGACTCACAGTTTCAGCGAGAGCCTGGATAAACACCCCGCGAGGACAAAAGAGGAAATAAGTGTACCAAAAAATTCCCTGGTTTTAATTACCCCAGGCGCTATTTTTAGTAGCACAAGGGAAAGAGAACATGTATCTTTTTTTTTTTCCTTCCCCCCCAGGTGCTAACCCACGGGGACCATCTCTGGGTCTTTCCCACTCAAAGGAAGGGGATCTGGATCAAGATTTGCCTTGTGGACTCCCGGTGCCAGCAAAGGAGAGGAAGAGAGCAGTTTGGAGCTCCTCTAGGATCTTTGGGCTCCGTGTGGGATCGTCAGGGCCATGATGGGGGCTCACGAGCTGCTTTGAACCCCCCACACTGCAAGGGAGGACCTGATCTGCTTTGGCCTCATGGAGCAACGACCCTGTTATCCTCGGTCCCCGTCACTCTCAGCATCTAGACCAGACCTGACCCAACAACAGCCTCTTGCCCGGATCCACACCACAGACAACGCTGACCGAACCCCAGCCAGTCTCAGACACTCAATATCCGCATTTCTGTGCAAGATCCTGTATTTCTCACCATTCCCACCTCCCGCAGAGCGGCTGCGCTACGACAAAAACTGGCAGGTCTCCCCAGAATTATCCATCAGACCTTGTTACAACTAAATGGCCCTGCTACAGACTGTACTAATGACAGATGCAACCTGGCAGCATCCCTTTCGAGCCCAGGAGGCAGGCGGTACCGACACTGAGAGGTGCCTCTGTTTGCACAGGGGGGAAATACCCAGCCTGGAAACAGGCTCCGAAGGGAGAAGGCAGCTCCAGGGAACCAAGAACGGTCTCTGGAGATTTCTGCCTTGAGGGGAAGCTCATCTCCACCTCGTGGTAGTTGCAGTTCAAGCGTGGGATGAGCAGTATCTGAATTAATGAACTTGGGTTCAGTTCCACCGATAAAGGCAGCCCCTGGTGAGACCTATGGCCCAACAGTCGCGATGCCACCCAGGACCAAAGGCTGATCAACCTGCATCGAGCTGGCATCATCCTGCACAGCCTGTGCCAAGAGCAGAGCTTCTAAACAGGGAAATGGAAAACTGCCCTCCCACCCAAAAGAGGAGCAATATCCTCCAACAGCCTCCCTGCAGAGCTAATGGGCAAACACCCTTGGCTTTGAGACAGAAGTTCATCTGGGGAGATTCTCTGGCCCAGATTCTCAACCAGGCTGAAGAAACCTGCTTTAATTCTTGTGTTCAGTGGTGTCCCGCCAACACACCCAGTGGTCCGTGGGACGCTGGAGGTGGTGGGCATCTTGGTGCTGGCAATGCATCTCCCTCTGCCCCATCAAACTTTTCATATCAGATTTTTTGGAGCATCCTTTCCAGGCCAGAACAAAGGAGTCACGAGGCAATTCCAGAGCAGTGATTTCCCAGCACAGCCATCGGAAGGAAGAATTTTTTTTTTTCTTTTAAAGATGGAAGCCACATATTGATGGGAGATGCAGTTCAATGGGAAATCCAATACTCTGTGTCTGTGCTGGAGAAAAGAACTGCGTGGGCACCAGACAAGAGAAAAAGTTGTTTAAATGGTTTTGGTTGCTCTACAGGATGTTTGAGAACCCAGGATTAAACAGGCAACTCACATTTTTCCTACTCCTTTTGCAGGTGGGCTTGGTGAAGACAACACAGAGACTCACAGATCCGTGACTACTGTCCTGAGGCAACTATTTATCCCTTCATGACTTGCTTCACGTGCAACATTAAGTCCAGAGCTAAGACAAACAACCAAGGAGCAAATCTGACACCTCACCACGTTAGGTGAGTGTTAAACACACACAGGCGTGTGACACAGCCCAGGTAACCCGAGGAAGAGGACTGTTGCCAATCTGACCCTGTGAGTCAGGGTGTTCCACGCACAACCCCGACACCTGGGACATCCCTGCAGAGACTTGCATCAAATCTCTCTCCCTTTCTCTACCAGCAATAAGTGGATCTAGCGACACATCACCTTTCTCAACAAAGTGCCTTGGGATTCCAGCTAACGTGGTCTACACAGGAGCAAAGTGTGACCACAGAACCAACATTTGCAAGCCATGGACCAGCCCCTCAGCAGCGCAGGGGAGCTGAGCTGCATTCAGCACGGTGACTGCAAGTCTGAGTTCTGCCACCCATGGCTTGTCCCCGAGATCTGAGCCTCGATGGAATTACCCAAACCATTCCTGTAGCTGTGTGTGTGCCCCGGCAGCACGTCTGAAGAGGGAGGCAATGCCACCCCCGTGCGATAGGTGAGCACTGGAGGAGGGCAAGGTTAATTTTCTGAAGTATGAGCCCTGTCCCCTGAGCTCAGCACAGCACCCTTCATGCTGGGCCTCCTGCCCCTCCTTCAGCAGCGTTTGCTCCCTTTGCATGACTATTCATGAGCTAAGTTGCTCCTCCTCTTCATCATGTACAGCCAAGACGACTATGGAGCTCCTGCCTTCATCTACAAGGCCCCCAAGATGCCCCAAGTGCAAACGGCCACCCAGCCTGGACAGACCCAACAGCATCGTGTCCGTGCCCAAAGCGATGGCTGGTAGAGCCAGGACTCAGAACGATGCTCAAGCAAACCCTTGAATGGCAGATAAATCCCTTCTCTCCCTACCGCGTCCAAAGATAAACCAACAGGGCAAGGGAGCCCAAAATGAAAACCAGGCTTAATACCTGTTGACAAAAGCCACCTTCTGCCCCGTAATCCCATAACGAGTCTTGGAGGAAACTGCACGTTTCTGCTTCCACTGGAGTCCATGAGGCTTCTGCCTAAGAGGTGTGCAGAGATCCCACCTCCAAACTCCAGATGGACCTCCCCCTGAGTTTTGGGAAGCAGAGGGACGCCGGTACTGCCCGTAAGTGTTTGCAAGTGTACAGGAAGCATGACTGTAAAACAGTGTGGTTAGAGCTCAGAGCCTGATCCTCTCACTGGTTTTCACATCAGCATCTCATTGGCCTTAACAGGAAATCAGCATATGTAAACAACTGCTCTTATTTATTTATTTTCATACCTTGTAGACTTTGGTAAGGGAAGGACAAGGTATTCTATTCTTCCAATGTGTTCATGCAGGATCTAGCACAAATGGTACTCTGAGGTGGAGAGAAGTCCAGGCAATACCAGCATATAAATAACGTTATCAGGCCAATAAAACAGCTCTGAGCTGGGTCTGAGCTCAAACACAGACAGTTGGGCAGAGCTGCTAATCTCCATTATTGACAGAGCCCCAGTGACTCAGTCTTATTTACAAGTCCACCTGCAAAACACGCTAAGAAGTCACCCGTGTTTAACAGCTTTCTGTGCAGCGGCATTTTATCATTTGGGGATGAAACAGGAGCAGAGGTTTTTCCCAGGTTCCTTTCGGCCCCGTTCCCAGTTTCACCCATTAGCGTGAAACGCAATTACACAGTCTGCTGGGCTCGGCGCACGGGAGAAACGGACTGAACCCCTTTGGAATGATGGCGAGCTGTAATTTTTCACCGCTGCTGTGTCAAGGCAGCACCAGGGACCTGATTTCATCCAGCAGCCGACGCAGCACGACTGAAACCAACTGCCTGAGACCAGGCGCCGCTCACCAAGGTGTGTTTTTCTCCATGTGTTTTAAACATCAAGCGCCTGTTGCTCTCTTTGCCTTGGGGAATGGAAAGCAAGTGACACCAGGCACCAGCCGTACATCTCACGGCTAGTCAGGGGGATTTTCTGCCCCAAGCCCTGTGCTCCCCTGCTCTGCCCACCTTGTCCTGCCCACACAGAGCTGCCAGCACACCCCACACCAACAGCTCCCTCCACACTATTTCTTCTGTGCCCTTCAAGCCCTCCTCGCACTGACCCGACGCCAAACATCTCCCAAAAGCATGGAGCATGCGCTCTCCCAGTTCATTCCAGCACAGCTTTATGGAACAGATTGGTTATCCCAGTCTTGCAAAGGGCCCAGGAGGTATGGAAAAAACCACCTTCTCAGAGAAACACAGCAAGGGGAAAAAAAAAAACAAACCTCAAACAA